AGCTCTCCCGCAGTGCCTCCTGGATACTGACAGCCCCCTGATGGACCTCCTGGATGGCAGCCTACAGAAAGTGCAGCCAGGCTTGCAGCAATCCGTCTACGGGTATGTCTAGACTACATGCTTCTGTCGCCAGAGGCATGTAGATTAGGCTACCTGACATAGGAAAATGAAGCGGTGATTTAAATAATTGCTGCTTCATTTAAATTTAAATGGCTGCTGCGCTGTGCCGATCAGCTGTTTGTCGGCACAGCGCGGTAGTCTGGACGCGTGGGGGTCAACATCAAAGGCATTTGTCGACCTCCCAGGTATGCCTCCTGGCCCCACACAGTCCTGGCCTGGTGCCCTGCTGGAACTGGTTCTGGCCAGTCTTAAATGCAATTCAGAGTCCACTCAGTGTGGAAGCATTATTTCAAAATAGCAAAATGCTATTTCGAAATGCATTTTGTGTGTAGACGCGTTATTTTGAAATAAGCTATTTCTAAATAACTATTTCAAAATAAGATATTTTGAAATAACACTGTAGCATAGACATGCCCTAAGAGAGGAGAAGCACTGGAATGGGTTACCTAGGGAGGTTGTGGAATCTCCATCCCTAGAGGTTTTTAAGTCCTGGCTTGACAAAACCCTGGCTGGGATGATTTAATTGGAGTTGGTCCTGCTTTGGGCAGGGGGCTGGACTCGATATCCTCCTGAGGTCTCTTCCTGCCCTATGATTCTATGGACTCAGATTAACGTGCCAGTAGTCTGGGTACTACCTGTGATCATTTTCATCCCATCAGCAGAAAACTGAAGGAAGAGAGTGGACTATCGAAAACCTAAGGAATTTCTGGGGAGACATTTCTCTGTGCTTTTCATTTGATTTTGTATATATTTCTGCCCAATATCCTCACATGACATAATCTAAAAATATCTGTTAACATAACAGCACACCCATAAACTCCTGCAATACCCCAGAGCATCCCATGAACCATGTTACAGCAGTCCAGCTCCTTTTATCTGTTTGTAACATAAATAACATTGTGCTAGACTATATTTTGCCTCTTCCTTGTTACTAGAAGAAAATCCATTATTCTGCACTATTCTAAGTCTAGCTATCATGAGGAATGGGACAGGGAAAAGACGGGGTAGAAGGAAAAAGGAAACAGTAAATCATCCTTGCAATATAAAGCAAATCTTTACATGGTCATGAAGCATCTGATTCATTCTGATTCTCCTCTGAGTGCTGAGAGCAATTATTCATCTTCTTTGTCAAAGCAAGTGTACTGTAACCCCCCTCTCTTGCATCAAGCACCCAACATGCAGGCCCAGCCTTTGGGCAAGGTGAGCGAGGCTGTTGCCATGGGCCCCATGCAATCAGGGCCCCGGCCATTCACTCGCTGCCCTTACTGGGAGCCGTGCAGCTCAGGGTCCCATGCTGCCCAGCTCCCGGCCCCTCCCACCCAGCCACTCACTCGTGGCCATGCAGATCAGTCACACTGCCTTGGTCCCCACAACTCTTTGGCTGGGCCTGCCAACATGGGATGAAGAGGGCACGAACCCTGCTTAGTTTGACAGAGTCTATTCATAATTTGCAGATGGTCTGGAGCTTGATGTAGTTCCACCTCCTATAGGCAGACGCAGAACTCTTGCCTCTGGCAGTTCATGGGTAAAATTGTTGTGGCCCATTTTCCTGTATCTATAATGAATGCTTCATTTCCAGAAGGTAGAGAAGCAGCCTGACTGAAAAATACCAAGATTCAGCTACCGCTCCAGAGACCTGCTTAACAATGATGATCAGCACAGTTTCAAATACCCCTATTTGGAGAGAAGGCTGAGCAACATTAGCCACAAGAAGGAGATTTTCTGGGTTCCAAGAGTAGCTTATTATCGCTAAACTATTTTGATGGTGTGACCTTTGCTTTCAGACAGATCTCAGCACAGTGATCTATGCCTCTGTGACCTTGAGGCAAGGCTGGAGTACTATAATGCCTGTTTCCGATGGCTTCTCTTGGAAATGACTTTCAGGCTGCAATTACAGAAGGTGACATCTTAACTGCTCAAGGGCCTTCATTGTGAGAACCAATAACACCAGCACTCCTCCATCAGCACTGGTTGATTGTTATTCTTTGAGTGTGTTTAGTAGTTAAACCTTAAATACAGTCTGTGAGAGGATGTACCTTTCATACTATGATCTGCGGTATTCGTTAAGATCAGCAGAGTTGAAATTGCTGGGTGCAGACTTCAGAGGTCAGACCAAAGGTCTTCTCCATTATGGGTCTGTGGCTTTGGGAGTTCTCTTTACTTTGACATGCACTGAGATATTGCACATCAGTGGATTCCTGTCTCTTGAGTTCAAGGCCACCTTCCTACCCCCCCTTTTTTCAGCTAGTCTCCCACAAGCGTCTGTCTTCTCTCCCATATTATTCAACAGCTATATGCCATAGCTAATTCAACAACACAGGCTGAAATGTCACCCATATTCATATGAGATGTAGGTCTATATCTCCTTTGCATCAACCAGTACCATCCATGCCCAGCTGAAATCAGCACCTGAATGAAAAACAGATGCCTAGCAATTAATCCAGCAAGAGAGAAGTGTTGCTCATAGTCAGACGGAGGCTTTTCAAAAACACTTGCTTCCTCTTTAACATTGGCACTCTTGAAGTCATCTGTCCTCGACTGACAAATTAGCTTTGGTGTCTTTATGGACTCCTCAATGCTACCAAAGGCTCAGATAGCTAAAGAACACCTAACTACCGTATTGGCTGCCCGAAAGATGGTGCCACATCCTGTCAGATACATAGTCATGATCGGCATATTCATGCTTGATTATTGCAGTAGAATTCATCTTGGAATGAAGTCACAGCCTGGTAAATCTCAACCCTGTACAAAAACAGTAGCCCATCTGCTTAGTAACATAGGCTACCATGAACACGTCTCCCTGAGGCTCTACTCTGAACTGAATGCTAACTGACTATAAGGTCCATTTCAAGGTCTCTGTTGGGATAATCATAGCTCTCCATGGAAATTACCCTACTGACCTGATAGATTGCTGCTCCATCCATGAAAGCTATATTTCACTAGAACAATGCAACTGTTGACCACAGAGGAGATTTTGAGATACCAAACTTTCACAGAAGTTGGAGCTACATTTAGCCTATGGACATATCCCTTAGAAAAGGTAAGTGACCATAAGAGTAGCCGTTTTCAAAACTAAATTCAAAGCTCAGTTCTTTGACTTTATTTTTCCTCAATAAGTTTTTCATATACAGACACCAACTCACTCACTTCACTCACCCACAAATGTAAATCAAATACTTATGAACTCGTCAAGCTATTTCTCCTTAAAGCTGACAAGGAAGGAAAAAAGAGGTTATGTCTAGCTTTAAATCCCTGACTATTACAATGATAGATACTACATCAGTGGATAGGTAAATAGATTTCTAATATTAAGATTTCATTAACTTAGCCAATTTTATTCAATCAAATGAGAATACCGCATTTAACTACACTGACCAATTGTGTAGTTTAAGTTTAAATTATTTTTGGATACTCTTAGAAAACTCTGCTCAACTCTGACCTGAAATTTTTTCCACTGTCACTTCACAATACATTTTTCAACTCACTGATGCTTGCTGGGGAAGCTGTCCCTGTGCATTAAGTGACAGTGGCACTGGGTAAACAAACCAGTTCTTGAAATCTATCCTCAGAGGAATTTATGACTGATTTCAGGATTGAGTAACAGAGATGGAAAGAAAACCAAAAATGGTTTGTCCCCAGCAGACCAGGGAGACGGGGGGTGGCGGGACCGCCCAAGTCCTCCACGGCTTTGCTCCGTCTCCACCTGGGAGATGCGGAGCAAAACCGCAGAGCACGTGGACAGCGGGACAGTCCAGGCGCGCCGCGGCTGTCCCACTGCTGGCGTGCTCTGAGGCTTTGGCCTGCTGGTCAGGAGACGGGGAGCAAAGCCTTGGAGCACGCCCGCAGGGGGACAGCTCAAGCGCACCTGGGCTGTGCCGCTGCGGGCGTGCTCCAAGGCTTTGCTCCCCGTCTCCTGACCAGCAGGCCAAAGCCTCAGAGCACGCCAGCAGTGGGACAGCCGCGGCGCGCCTGGACTGTCCCGCTGTCCACGTGCTCTGCGGTTTTGCTCCGCATCTCCCAGGTGGAGACGGAGCAAAGCCGTGGAGGACTTGGGCGGTCCCGCCACCCCCCGTCTCCCTGGTCTGCTGGGGGGGGGGGTGCAGCTAGTGCCTCCCCCCCAGCAGACCAGGCTTTTCTTGCCTACACATGGGGTAGAGCAGCTGGGGGCTGCCGGGTTGGTCCCGCAGCGCCGCTCCGGACCAAGCCGGCAGCACCCCAACTGCTCTGCCCCAGGAGTCCTGATTTTCAGTT